AGGAAAACCTCATCTTAAAATTTCCCCACGTGAATACGGGACTCGGCTCTGTAGCTCATGAAAAGGGAAGGCTCTGACTAGCTTACTGAGGCAGAGGCTTGCAGGACTTTCTCAAGGGTTTCAATGGTCTTGGCTTGCTGCTGGGCTGTGGCTTCCAGCCTGGCCTTTTCCACTTGGAGCCTGAAAAAGAAGTACAGGCGTTATCACAGAAGTCCACAAGAGCACAAATCCCAAAAGAAGAGTGCGAAAGAACCTCATCTAAAACAAGAGCACCTTTGGAAATCGTGTATTATTGTCTTGCTGGGATGCAAGAAGACAGTCCTGTTGTTTTCACACAATCGCAGAAAGTGGAGCCTTGCTCCACTGTGTTACTTCCTTACCGTTGCTTGCGTTCTTCCAGCTCTGGGATAGCCGCAGTTCGAGAAGACGCGACCAGAAGGCCCTGCAGGTTCCTGGAAGTTGTTAGTTCCCTCTTTTTATTCTTTATGGCGTTCTTCAGGGACTCGGCATAACACTCAGTCTGGGTACGCCGTTCTCTCAATTCCTGCAGCTGTCAAACCACAAGAAGAATCCCCGGTAGTCAGCTTAGGTTTGATAAAAAGGAGTGGACTGCTTTGACTCTCACGTTGACTCTCAAAACCCATGTTACTTCTTCATCTTTTCTACTGGCCCCTCTCCTACGTCTACACTGATTTCCTACAGCGTTTCCTAAACGCTGCCACAACGCTCCTCCTCCTCTCTCAAGGACTCTGAACACTCTTTGTAGCCACTTGTTGGCTGCTCCAACGTGGTTAGAAGCTCCTCCTGCTCCTAAAGTGACTTTGCAACTCCATAACAACGATGATGTGACGAGGGAATACAAAAAAGCACCAGCGCAACACTCCCGTATGCCTACTCTTTCTCCGTCAGCACACGCTCCGCTTTGCCAAACCCAAGAGAAGCAGCAAATACACGTGCTCTGTGAAACTTGAGAAATAGCTTTTTGAAAGAAATACACACACCCTTCTCTCCACAAAGCGGCTTCACGGTTAGCGACCTTTCGAATTGTAGGCGCCAGGCTTATAAAACAAGGCAAGTCACTTACCTGTCACTCATCTACTCCTGTTGCAAAGTTGCCTAGTGTACTAAGACCACCTTAGCGCAGCCCTCCACTGTTAACTTCAAGTGGTGCAAACAGGCAGGCACCAAAGGCAGCAGTGCTGTTCCCTCCCAGCCCCCTCGTCACAGCTAGCCGCGCCCTGAACCACCCCGGGTTACAGAAAACCCCCAAGAAAGGGTCAGTTCCCCACTCTGGTTTGCTACAACAAAGGCCTGGGCCCCTGCCAAGAGACAAGAGACAGGCTTTCTCCATACCTTAGCTTTAGACCTGTCCAGTTCCTTCTGCAACTGCAGTTTCTGTTCCTGCAGGTCCCTGCTGTAGCGCTTCTTAGCTTCAAGTGAAGCTTCTGCCAGGGAGTTCTTTTTGAGAGCGTCGGCAAGCCCCTGCTGCAGCTGCCTGACCCATCTCTAAAGAAACAGTGTTCCATGAGCATGGAGTCATCAGTAAGAAGATGACAACATGAGAGATGCATTTACTCATGGGATTATACCATTAGATCGGTCTGCAGGGTGGCCAGCAGGTCGAGGGAGGTGA